ATTGATCGTTAGAGATAAGAGACTCACACTTTCCATTTATCGGTGGGTGACGTCATTATCACATTGGGAGATGTGGCTGTATTGGCAGGTCTACCCATCGAGGGTCGGGCAGTTACTAAGACTGCGTGTAGAGTGTGGGTTGATTTGGTACACAGATTGTTGGGAGTACGGCCACACGCCGGTACAGATATTCGGGGGTCCGCCTTGAGGATGGCTTGATTGAGACAACATTTTACTGATTTACATGTTGATGTTGATGACGTTGTTGTGCAGCAGTACGCCAGAGCCTACATTTTGATGCTTATGGGAGCCTCCACATTTGTGGACAAGAGCGGTAGTGAGGTTCAAGTCTTGTATTTACCCGTTCTGGAGTCTTTTGATGTAGCTGCAGTTTATAGCTGGGGTAGTGCGACTTTAGAATACCAATATCGGCAGTTATGTCGAGGTTGCCATCATGACGGTGGAGAGATGGGTGGTTTTTTGTTGCTCATACAACTGTGGTCATGGGAGCACATTCATATCGGCAGACCTGTCATTCTGCGATATCATGGGGTAGATGGTGGTCCTCTTGATGATGCTATGGATCAACATGATCGATCTATACTTGGGCCACATCATGTCCGTGGCGAGGACCTTTTGGGTCGTAGGTACGTTTATGATTTTTTTTATTTATGTATGACGTACGTGAATCCCTTTTATATTCTTGTACATTACAGTGTGTCAGACGGCTATTTGCTCATGTCACACGCACGTCATCCGTTGCTGGATTAGGATACTACCGAGATGCTTTAGATCGCATGTGTGATGATCAGGTATATCATTTATATCATTAAATGTAACTATTTTGTTTTACGTTTTTGTAAACCATGGGGTAACATTATTTTATATTATAGATTACATGGATGTCGTACACTGATGAGATTCTAGGACTGTTACCTCTTGTTGCCCGAGAGCACACAGAGATATGGCGAGCATGTGTGCCCTTGATATGTTTTGATGTAGTGGAGCATCACTTTCCTGATCACATACTACGACAGTTCGGGTTGCAGCAGGTTACTCCCGGACCTTGTGATACATCTGTGGACTTGGACAAGATTGATAGACGGGGGAAGCACACTGAAGATTGGGGGATGCGCCATAATCAGTATATCACTATGTGGGATGAGAGAGCGGCGTATATAGTGGACGGGACTCCATCATTAGTCCCCACAACTTCTGTAGAGTACATGAGATGGTATTACACCATCACATGGGTGTTCATCTCTCCCAGTTTTCATTTACCCACTAATCATTACCAGCCTAGCTCAGTCGCTCTTTATATGACGGTAAACAATATAGTCAATAAAATAGCTTTATTTATTTATTCATATATTTTTCAGTAATAACCATGTTTGCATTACAGACACGGGCTTTGCGTAGCATCCATGTCAGAGCGACTGTTGTACTTGATGAGGCGGTAGATATACAGGGATACCATGACGCTTGTTCGGGCATTGTTGCTCTGTGCGCTGATGTATTGGGTCGAGTGGATTATGGATATATGGCCACCTCTCAGCATTCTACCGCATTTACATCCACATCAGGGTCTTCTCAGGCAGTCCGACGTGATAGAGTTGTTCTTCAGCCTCGTAACCAGCGCAGGCGCCCCCGAGCACAGCCACAGCCACATGAACTTCATGATGATGATGATCACGTTGACTTATGATCTTTGTATTTACATTATTGTGTGAGACTTGTAACATGCACTGGCAGATCGAATCATTTTGTGAAACACCAGATTTATTATAACTTTTATGTCTTATTTCAAGTGTTGTGATGAAATGAGTTTCATTGATTCGTTTTGTGTTTCAGATGTATTTTGTCTTAGTAAATCATATAGTTGGTTGGTTGGTTGAGTAGAATGGAATGTGATGAGCATATTTTCTTCTAACTACAGGTTCATTTGTGTAATTAATAGTTCAACAGCTTGCTTGACACAAGAGTCGCCACTTGGAGTGACGGCTTTTATACAGTGTATATAAGCCACCACTCCAAGTGGCGGCTCTTGTGAAGCTATACAAGAGCCGCCACGTGGAGTGACGACTTTCCTTAACCGTGGTTAACCCCAGCAGTATTTTGGGAATTATTCTTAACACGACAGTATTTCGGGAATAATTTATTTAATTAACATTATTCCGGGAAAAAACTCGGATTAAATTGTAAATGAATGCAACTTAATTGATTAAGATGTAAAACCATTAAATGAACTCTTTTGGTCCACAGAGCCACATATACCAAAGCATGTTGATATTTTATGAACGTGTTATATTAAATATATTAAAGGAATTGCAGCAAAAAGAAGGTTTTGTCTTGATGGAGGATATGACCCGGGAATCCCCGGTCCACAGACTCCTACTACATCAATAAAGGTCCAACGGGCCCAGGAAGCACAACAGGCCCAAATCACAGCGCCCAGAGTACCAAGCGGCCCACAGTGCGCACCAGGGGTGCCTTCGGCCCCCTGGCCGAAGGCTCCAATTCTCACAAGATGGCCAAATCAGGAAAGCAAAGTCACTGGGAAAAAACGGCGAAAATCAGTAGCCCTCGGCATCTAGAGCCCTCAGCACTAAGGAGGTCCCCGATGCTCAGAGCCCTCGGCTAATCATCTACAGCCGAGGGCACCTTTCCGACATAGTATCCGCTCCACATGCACGTAGATCACCGTACCAAGTACGACGTCACATCCAACAGCCGCATTAAATGCGGCCACATGCGATTCCCAGCGCCAACCAGTTGAGGTGACCAATGGATGCTTGACACGTGTCCCCGTCTGACATTTATTGCTGCTATAAATAGCACCTCATTCCCCCATTTGTAACCAAGAGGCAAATACGCTGAAAACACTGAATACATTTCTAATATACTTTCTCTCTCTCTACTTACTTGCTCTGACTTCTCTCTAGTTATTCCCCGTAATAACCTCTCGGATAAGCTACCCCCGGGTACACTATCCATCATGTCTCATAATGAGTTTTAGGTGATATTAGCCTCTAGGACTGGGACAATGCAGTTCTTACTTAAAATTAGTGGACTCATTATAGAAAATTTAACTGTGTAAAAAGTCCAAAAAATTATGGAACCGAATCAAGATTAAACGTTTCAGCTCTTGCTTCTATCGGTTCCTAGAATACTTTTTCTCCTACTAAGAATTAACACATAGTTTACTTTCTACCACATGAAAACGTCAAGAATTCAAAACACAAGTAAAGAATTTGTTTGGAGTTCTACCCTCTTCAAACATCAAAGCTCAAACTAAACTAAGTGACGCATAATGGAATAAAAGAAGATCTCGATGAAGGTTGTTTATCATCATAATAGCTAGAAAAATCATGTCTTCTTCTTGAACCAGATTTGGAATGCATGAAGTTTTCATCCAGATCGGAGTAGAATTCTTCACTGGCTTTACCAATCTCATGCAGATTAGTGCAGATTTTTCCTTCAATCTTGAATAGATAAAATATGTTGCTATCTTAAAAGTGAAAATATTTAAAATTTGCTTCTCCCTCTTTCAGAAATTTTCTCTATTGCTTTAGTTTGGTAAGAAGAATCGCCCACTGCCTTGACCATATTTGTGTGTTGGTTTCTATAGGGGCATTTTGGAATTGGTTTTCAGCTACTAGAATAGCATCCACAAGTTTTTTGACTTCATAAAAAATATTTTCACATACTCCCTTATTCCATTCTTTCCGGTGGCGGAGCTAGGGGGGCGAGCCGGTGCCGGCGCTCCCCCTTCTCCGGCGGTGATTCTGTATGTATATATATGTATATATCTCAGCCTCAGTTCAGAAAGTATTCATATATTAAAGTGGAGTCGCTATTTGAACATATGAGTTGTGATAGTTCAAATGGTAGAGTGGAGGTTGGGAGAGCTCTGTCCACCTAAATGGCCCGGGTTCAATTCTCAGGAGGAAGAATATTTTTTTGCTTTCTCCATTATTGCTTCTTTAGACTTTAGCCCATTTGGTAATTATTTATGTTCAATTAAATCACTCTAGGGTGTAATGTTGTTTAAGGATGTTTTTACTTGGACTGTAATTCGTCCCAGACCAGACCAATTCAAACCAGATCAGACTTGGATAGTTATAAAAATACAAAGAAACCAGACCAGACCAAACCAGATCAGACCAGCAAATTACAGTCCAAGTAAAAACATCCTAAATCACACTTTTGAATTTCTATATCTTTTATTTTAAATTCTCATTTCTTCAATTCAAATTAATTATAATCATTTCTTCTTCTAATAATGACATATACGGACGTTGTCATTTAATGTCAAGAATAATTTTAAAACTACTTTAAGTTAGTATAAGTATTTACCTTTTGTTTAGTATAATAGCATTTTTATTTGAAACACACTATATATACATATATATGGACCGTATCAAATAAAAAGAGTTCTTATCATGAAAATTGATCGAGAATAAATCTTGTGCATTTAACTTGAGATCCGATGAGTCAAAATTAGTCAACAATGCACTATATTTTATCAAAAACTCAGTGACAATTTGATAAATAAATCGAAATTTTCTCTCATTGTGAAAAAGTGTAAAATAAATATCTACTAGTGTACCAAAACGAGTAAAAAATGCGCCCGTTCTCTTTTTATTAGAACTCACTCTATATGTATCTAATAATTATTTTTCACTCGTTCTTATTTTATCCTAATAAAAAATTGTTTTTCAAAAAAAAAATATAAGAACACCCCCTCAAATTATTGTCTGGTTCCGCCGCTGATTCTTTCAGGTCCTCCTTAAGATATTTTAGTGTAGAGAAAAGTCCCCTTATTCCAGCTCCAAAGTTATGGGTTGTCCAGTTTTTTTACAGCATCCAAGAAAGAAGGGTCACCGAACCACGTATTTTAGAACTTAAAAGCTTTTGGGCTAGTAGTGAGCATGTTTTTGCATTTTAATAGAAGGGGTGAGTGATCTAAAGGTGTTCAATTCAGGTGAGTTATTTGAATATGATCAAATAAATCAGGGAATTTAGGATTAAATAGCAAACAATCCAGGCGTCTCCATAACCTTCCATTTGACCGACCTCACACTTGTCAGTGAAAAGGTAAATCAATTAGGTCACAGTGACAGATGCACTCTTTAAAAGGTAAATCATAACATGTGAATGTATTGATTGTTCCAAGTGAAGTTCGAAATAGAAATAGATGCAGAACTCCAGAAAAGGCAAATTTTGCTAGGTGGAGATGCTATAACCTTGTCTTTAAATAGACACACTAAGAGCAATCAACCATAGCCTCAATTACTACCAGCACTTGAATGTCCCACTGCTTAATCAGGAAAAGGGACCACGAACATTCCAATTAGAAAAAGCATTTTAGAAACTTGCCTTGAGGAGTGGACGTGCGTTTTGGATCATTTTTGTTTCCTGGCTGGCAGTTGAGATGAATTCCTTTTCAACTGGATTTTCCTCTGAGTAATCTGAAAAAGAGCAAGGTTCTTTTGAGGTTTCAATATTCCTCTCCATAACAATATTTTTTCTATAAAACAAGTGCATCACGCATTCATGCTTCAACTGAGTTTGTATATCTTGGCATTGCCCTTTGAGAGAACTAGGCAAGTGATCAGGCACTTCAATGGAAACAATGTTTAACATGAGAACGCACTATCAATCAATTTCATGAATCTGGATATATCAAGCTATACTACGCTCATCTTCGTTGACTCAATACAATTCGTTTTTCATTTATTATTACTACTTCCTCCGGTCCGTATCAAAGTTCTCACTTTCCTTTTTGGGATGTTCCTTTTTGGAAAGTCTCACTTCTAGTCCCTCAACTCAATACTGGTGTTGAAATGTAATCCTCATATTTCCTTTTTGGGATGTCCCTTATTTAAGTTCACACTTCCATTGTAGGAAACAAAACAGTGCAAAACAGTGTCCAAACAGTGCACTCCACAGTAAAGTCAAATTTATTTTCTTAATCTGTGTGAAGTCAAACTGAGAACTTTAATAGGGACCGGAGGGAGTATTTGACTTTGGGTAAAAAAAGAGAATACGCAAAATTTCCTAACCAAAAAATATGAAATCATACTAGAAGCTCGAATACGGAGTATATATTAGGCCTAGGGGAAAATCGCACATTTGACTCCCCAATTATGCACCATATTGAAATCCCAAACACGTGTTTCAGGTTTTCTAAATTTCACCCCCGAGTTGTCCGAATAATTATAAATGTCACCCCTGCCATTATAAATATTGTAAACTCCGTCTGTTTTTCATTTTTTTCAGGGTTAAAATTGTCATTTCCCCATCCCAACCCTGACTACCCCTCCGATGTCAATTTCCTCACTGCCTTCGCCGGCTCCATCCCCGGCCTCCGATCTCAGCTTCTGTATTTCACTTCCCAACCCCCAAACAAACCCCTACTTCTACTCACCTGGCTCGGCTCCAACCCTTCGCTTCCCTTCTTCCTCTTCAATTCGAATCTTGACTTCGTCTCTGCCGAGCCCACCAAGTTCTCCCACCCGCCCTTCTCCGCCCACCGCTCCTCTGACGGAAAAATCTTCACTAGCGGAGCCCATGACGACCAGGGCTTCGAATTAGGGCTTTAAACGAAAAAGATTGAGAAATGACAATTATAACCCTGGAAAAAATCAAAAACAAACGGAGTTTACAATATTTAGAAAACCTGAAACACGGGTTTGAGATTTCAATATGATGGATAATTGGGGTCAAATGTGCGATTTTGACTTAGGCCTAGCTAGGGTGTAAGAGGAGGAAAGAAATTGTCAAAACAATTATATACCCCGGAAAATAGGGCACCTAACTATCCGCTACAATAGCTAGGTTTGAGGAAGTGATTATTCTTCACGGCCGGTTGACTAAACCCTCAAGGAGGATCCAGCTCAGCTGCCAGCATAAGAGTCGACGAGGCTTTCATCGATTTTGCCGAATATATCAGGGCATCCATCCCATTCCCCATTCTCACGTGTTTCCCAGTATCCACCTACATACCGGAAATTCCCATCTTCTCCTCTTTCGAACCATCTAGCCTTCCATCCATTTTCTTGTAATTTCCTGGACTGAGACGCGCAAGAAACAAAAACAAAAACAAAACCAACATGTTTTCTCAGTGCATGATCCAATATTTCTGAAAACTGCCTTTTCAGCATAAATACTACAGTACTTTTGTTCTTCCAAAACGATTACTGCCTTTGATTTTTGCTTGCATCTTTTATGACTAATAATATGTTTGAGAAATTGTCCTCTTGTCTTTATAAAAATATGTTTTCAGATAGACCGTTTCCATAATCAGATTAGGAGCAAGTTTGGTTACACATATTTTCAACTCAAAGTCAACTTCGTGCGTTGAGTAATATATTAATCAAAAAAGGTAAGGTTGGAATTACTTTTATGACTAAATTGACTGAAGTTACTCCAGAAGAAAAATTTTGCTATTTTTTAATGTAATTTTTTCTTGATTTTATATATAAAATAAAGGGAGAATTTGACTTTGCACCCCATTTTTTTATTGATATTTGACTATGCACCCTATTTTTAGAAACAGTAATATATGCACCCCATTTCTCTACGAATTCATTTGACTTCATACCTTGCTCCTTCACAATTTTTGGGTTAATGGGTGCAAATGTTAATGATTTTAAAAATAGGATGCAAAGTCCAATATCACTTAAAACATGGGGTGCAAAATCAAATTCTCCCTAAAATAAATTTTAAATATAATTTTTCATTATTCAACCGATTAGCCAATTGAACCACCTCAACCATAAATTCTTAAAATTGAGCACATTCAGTCGATTTAGCCAATTTTAGTGTTACTAAACAGGCCCTAGATTGATGAATTTCTATCATGATAAAAACGCGTCTACATTTACCAAACTTGTAGAACTCCATAAAATAAGAGTGAACAAATATTGTACTTCAATTATGTGCAGACTATTTCAAGTATGATTAATACAAAGAATTCCTAGGGGTGAAATATCTTGGAGGAGATAAGTACAAGTGGACAACCGTATAAAAGGTAAGTATATGCACAAAATATACTTTTCGTAAGTCGTTTTTTGACTTATCTATATTATATAAGTCATCATATTTATCATACTACTTTTTACTATACTTCTCTTAAATTTATTAATAAAATTTATTTTAAACATAAGTAACTTAATGCAGTAGCAAATTTATTCATTTTAATCACAATTTCAGGATTTTCAATGCATTCGGTGAATTCCAGTATTACCATACGAGCTCATGAATTTATAAACAACGAACACAATCTTGATTTTAATATATTTGAAATATATAATTTCATTTGCTATAATTAATATAGTTTTAGTTTAATTTTCAATTCTGATATATCAAATTAAATTTTATTTTTAGCTTTCAAATGATATGATTTCATAACTTTAGAAGTTGTTCCTTGGGAAAATTACGAGATCTTACATTGATCAAAGAGTAACCTTTGAAAAAACTTGGTTATGACATTGTTGTTTCACAAATCACTTGGAAGATGGTTTGGTTTAATAAAATAAAATAAAATAAAATAAGACGCATTTTCTTGGTAGATATTTTTAACAAGATTTTATTAAAACACATGAAGTATTATTTTATTATCCATATTTGTATACAATGAAAATAAGAAGGTGCAAAGATTATTATTTAAAAAGTGATTAGAAATAATCTATCACTAAGTTAAAGTATATTTTTAGATCTTCCAATAAAAATCTGATAGAACAAGACCAAAATAAAACAACTATAGTAGACCCATGATAGGTAAGTAACTAATTTCAGAGTAATTCAAGAATGTAAAGATAAGAAAAGAAGATGCGCGTAACAATGGCAGTCATATAACAAAGAAGAGAGAGAAATACAAAGGCAGTTTAAAGAGTGTCAACTCTCCAAGTCCAAGCCAAAAGAATAATCCCAACCTCTCTCTATTCTACCCTCAACCTCTATTTATATTAACTCTAATACTCAGGGACCGTAGTAGAGACTCAGGGGCTACCGCCCCCCAACAAAAAAAAAATTAGTGTATATATATACGAAAAATGATTTTTGTTCTTCCAAAAAGTATTTTGAACCCCCCAAAAAATATTTTCGCCCCCCCAAAATGACTTTCCTGGGTCCGCCCCTGCTAATACTCTTTTTATTTCTTCTTATTCTATGTGGGTCTCTATCATTACTCCCTTTTGACAACCACCTTGAGGACAAGGTGGGTGATAGGAGACAATCCTGATGAACAGCTTCTTCTTCATCTTTACGCCTCTTCCTTCCCAGTATCTTCCAAATTTCAGGACCCTGAACTTCATGAGCTGAACCATTGCTATCACTTTTTCCATAGCAAGCAACTGAGGCATCAGGCAAGGGCATGGTTACATGATGCTTCACTAAAACTTGGCCAGCACCAAGTGCTACAATCTGTATAGAGCCATTCTCATGGGCTAGGCCATCTATAATTGCAGGCCGAACCGGTGATGCTTTTTTATGAGAACAGTTTTGTATGCTATCCAAAACAACCTCCAATATAATATAGATTCTTCCTGAATGAGTAGCAACCACAACCATACCCCTCCCACCATTTCTGAAAACTGATGTAGAGGCCATGTGGATCTGCTCTATACCTTCAATATCTCTAGCCTCAGTATCTCTAGCCTCAAAATATTTTTCAAGGAGAAAACTGTTCCTCTTGTTTGTTTCAAAGTTCAAACAATTCTGATATGCGCGTGAACAGTGTTCCAAACAGCCCCCGAGAGAAACATTCTTGAATTCTCTTCGCTTCCCTAACTGGATCTGCATCAAACTTTCTTAGCTCAAGTGAGAAGAAGAAGCCTTAAAGATTTTTCCAAGCAAGTAGGGCTCCAGTTCTATATTTCCAACATCATCAACTAGCTGGGATTCCATTAAAATTCCACAACTGCAACAGTTCACTTCGGGATCATTGAAGCATAAGACCATTTTATAAGGTTAAAAAATTTACTTCAGCTTCCATTCCATCAACACTTTCAGGTTTTACAGATAAATCCATGAGTTGTTCCATCTGGGTGACATCAATTACAGCAGCCTGAATATTAGGGTCCAGATCCACACTGATTTTACTCAACTGATACTCAAGAACAAACTCCTTAGCCCATCTCAGTCCAGAATTAAAGGAGTCCCAAATTGCAGACACTAGTAAAAAACAGGCTTATAGTGACGCTTTTATAGTGACACTTTTCTGTTATAATGACATCAGTGATATAGAAGTGTCACCATTTTCTAGCACAAAAATATCGGTATCACATAGTGACACTTACGATTACTTTTTACGAAGTATTTGAACTATTCTACTTATGGACCTTATGGGCCTGCTGATTCCTTCTAATATTTCAACCCTTTTCCACTAGGTCTTTCCCTTCATTCTACATTTCTACGTACAACTGGGTACAAGCTCTAACTCTCCTTCTCGAGCTCCATCGGTGGCCGTCATTCTTGGTCCTGCCGCATGCTCGCTGGGTCTCCTTCGTCAGTGATTATCGTCGCTAGTGCTCATTGGGTCTCCTTCGTCTCTGGATTTGTTTCAGGTATGTAATTTTCCCTTCATCTCCTCCCTGAAAGAAGATAACCGGTGTGGCTCTTGGTGTGACCGTGGAGCTGTGGAGGAGTAGATACCCGGTGACTATCTTGGCCGCTTGGAGAAGATATACGGATGGTTGCCGCTGCGATTCCATCTATGGCTGGAATAAGGAGCCATCTGGCCACCGGGACCGGCCATTACTGGAAGGTGGCTAGTTTGGCCTGCCATCGCAGGGACGGCGCCGCCTGGTCGCCGTTCGTCCCCGAGTTGCAATTTAATTATTCAAATTGAGGTTCATCCTTTTGCCATGGATATTATATTTTCTTGATTTTGTTGTCCAAAGAACATATCTCCGGACATTGTTTGGCTTAAATTTGCTCTGCATTTTTCCCCCTTTTCCTCTCCACATCTCCAATCATAACAATTAGTCTCCCAATTTCTTTTTCAGATCAACCCTATCTGAAATATCTACCCCTATCACCTCCATCTTGTAAGATTCTGTCTATTTTCAACTCTTTAATAATGTATCTGATTGTATTCAAGTCTTGCTAGCATTGTTGGTTCTGGAATATGACATTTTATTTGGTTTTTTGTTTTGGTTAATATTGAGTGTAGTTGACTAGTTGTACAATGAAGAGCAAGAATTTAAGAATATTTAAAACTTTTTCTTGTAAAAAGTCCTTTTTTTAAGTCTTGAAGTTCATGAACTGCATATATGATGGTAGGTATAGACTTTCATTAATTTGTTACTGAATTTGTTTACAAATAATGCTTTTGTTCATTTTTATTTGTTCAGATGCCAAAAATCATATCAGGCTTGCTTTGGATATACTGGCGAACATATATCAGGTTCCCTCTGTTTTTTATTTTCATTTATTGTTCTCACACCATCTTATACTTGACCATTTTATCTGTATTGGATATATATGTTTTTGACAAGCAGTTTGAATTTTGATAGTCACTTGTATTTCCAATGTAAAATAAAAAACAAGCAAAAGAAAGCATTCCTTGTCTTTGTTAGTAGGAATTTGATGGCTCTTTAATTTGATTTCTTCCTTTTAGCTTATCAATTAATTTATATAGGTGAACTTTAGCTAGTCTTAAAAAGAATTATCACTATTTACTATTGGAAATTGCAGGCTAATGGGTAAGCTTGCCAAGTTACCTGCAACAAAGCATTCTTTTTCTAAATTCTTAGATAGTAACGTTGTATATTAGGCCTTAACTATTAATGATACTATTGTAAAACTGTCTTAATTTTTAGAGATGTCAACTCATTCAGATTATTTTAAATTTTCTGATTCCCAAACAATCATATTTTGGAGGTATATTATCCATGGAATTGTAACTTTATTAGCTTTAAATCTTTAATGTGTTAGTTTTTTCATGTATAATAAATTTGTGCTCCTTTTGATTACTCCTTTTTCAGTTTTGTGAACTCAGGTTTGTAATGAATGGTTACATGATATTTTACTCTCTCTCTCTGTGAGCTATACGAAACACTAGGACCATGAAGGAGAGTGAGGTTTGGTTTAAATGATTTTTTATGTTATATCTTATCTATGTAGCAGTTCACAGAGTTTGCCGATTATGTGTCTTCTATATGAAACACTAGGACCAAGGTTTTGATTATTTAGGTTTGCTTTGTTTTGAGTGGTTATTTGTGATATTCAAATCATTTCTCTTGAACGACAGTAATTGTTCCTTTGGACTGGTGCAGTCGTTACTGATAAGGAAGGAGTGCACATGCAGCATTGTAGACTGGAAAGCATGGGCAAATATCTTAGGATGGTTTTTAGAGGTGTTGTCGATCCTCATGCCATATACTACTGTGTAAGTTGACTAAGTTCTAAGGTGTACTGTACTATATCATTTACAGCCAGGTATTGTTTCTGCAGTTTCCATGTTCTTTATATTGACTAAGTTTCCTTAGGCTTATAACTTTTTTGTCGGTTCATGTTCAGGAAGTCGAAGGAAGTAGTCATGATGCCTATAAAGGTATGACAAGATTTTCTTTGGTTGAATTGATCAACTTTAGCTCTCGGACCAGATGAATGTAATTATCTGAGTTTGATTAGGTTTAGCCTCATGAGTTAGCAGTTTAGACTAATCTCGATTTGACCAATTGCATAACAAATAATTGCTCCATACTATTCTTATTATTTGTATGATATAATCAAGAAAAAAGAGTTGTTTCATCTACTAGAATGTCGTATTAAAATGTTATATACAAGGGCGTATCAAATATTGTAATGAAAACTATTTAACACTATGTTTATTCTAGCAACACTCTTTATTATTTTTATCAAATTGGTTAAAACGATTATGTAACATGTATTCTAGATGTGTAGTGACGTATACCAGATCTGACGCAAATTTAGTTGATTTATTACTTGATTAATAGCTACTGCTATTAAGACATCTGACAGAACTCCTATTGTTTGATATATAGCTTTATAAACTGCAATCTTGTCAAGGAAAAAAATAATGAAAATGTTGTAGTAAATTAGCTTTATGGGTCTCTTCCACCTATTAGGCTATTAGCTTTATAAACAACAAACTTGTTTTGAATGGTTTAATTTTACAAAAATACTAATGAGGATTCTCAAACTATGCAGGCAATGTTCAACCAGATATTGATAAGGACTTGCTTTATTGGATGTGGATGGTGATGCCAGGAATAATTATGTCTAGCGTGTACAAATAAAAATGTTGTATGATTATAGTGTAGATTTATAGCATATTGTAATACACTATTGATATCGACACTGTAAAATAATTTAAGTAATAAATACAAATGTTGATATTTTATTTTGATTAGTTATTGTTATTTCTATAATCTTTAATTTCATAGAATCAGTAACAAATAATATAATGATTATTATAATATTATTATCATATTTATTATATGACACAAATGTGTCAAATTTTTTATGATACCAATGTGTCACAAATTCTTATGATACCAATGTGTCATAATCTTGTATCACATTAATGCGTCACAATTTACCGACACTCTTATGTTTTACGATCAGTGACACTATATTTAGTGTCACTAGCCGACATTTTCCCCGACGCTTTTTTATTGTCACAGAAACTTTCAGTGACACTAAATTAGTGTCACCGTAAGCCCTTTTTCTACTAGTGAGAGTGTATCCCACTGCCGCCCTTAACTACCATCCTAGGTTTGACATTTGAGTGAGTGAAGACTGATCCTTCAATTGCACTAATCTGTGGATCATTCTTCCCCAATCGCTTTGCTAAGGCACCCCGTAATAACACAACACCTTCACCCCTAATGGCTTGGTTCTGACCGTCACCCAATTCCCAATCCTCCTCTATTTTCCTGAATATCCTAATCCAATGAACATTTTCCATCATTTGCAATGGAGCCAAAGATTCATTATATTTTGGCTTGAGATTATGATGGAATAAAGCAAAATGACTCACTAAACTGTCTGCGCTTCTTTGTTATGGAGCAGCAGTCAGTCCATGCAATTTTGGACGCGATTTTCACTATGAGTCATCCGGAAACAGTCTCTCTGTGCTTTAGTACAGGGGTAAGACTGCGTACATCCGACTCCCTCTTACCCCACCGTAGGTGGGAGCCTTTGCGGCACTGGCGTAAATGAAAATGAATCCTAATCCAATGAACAGCAATTGCCATATGAAACCTATAGTCCAAACTTGCACCTCCCCTTTGAACAGGTATACAAACTAATGGCATTCTCCTTACCTTTTCACCAAATATCAAGGCCTCTTGGAAGATAGCAGGATTGTTTTCATTGTTAAGCACCAGGAACATGTCAGCCTTATCATCAGGAGCATAATCAACCTTTTCCTTCCAATTCTGAGTAACACTTACCCCCAACGCATTTAGAATATACCTCCTATTATCATTGGTAAAGATATGTGTGAAACTGGTCATCTTTATCCTCTTTGTGTCATTGTTGGTCAGTAACAGGGCAACATCAGTGGGCGCTGGACTATTTGTTTCTTGATGGTAAAGAACATCAACTTTGCTATTTTCTGATACTGTTGGTGCCGCTTGCTTCAACTCAGTATTGATTTCCGGAAGTAGAGTCCCTGTATGGTTTCTATCGCACTGGGAGAAGTGTCTGCGATGACATCTGCGAATCAATAAACAAGTCTTGCGCATGGTGAGAATCTACCCGCGATGATGATTAGTGATGCTCGGTTAGCAACGGCGGACTGGCCGACGCAGTTGGCGCTTGTGAACTGGGAAGAGCAGTTCGCAATGACGAACTGGAACCAGCGGCTAGCGACGACGAATTGGAAAAAACCGCTATCGATGATCTCGAACCCACGGTTCAAGAGTTCCGACACCGCCTTATTGTTCTAGACCTTCCGCGAGAGTGCGGATTGTTTCTTTGCAAGATTAGCTCTCGCATCTCTTCTCGATACCGCCTGACTTCTTCACACATCGCTTCGCGCATCGCTTCGTTATCACGCATCTCCTCTATGTGATTCTTCTCCAACTCACGTTCAAGATTTTCCAGCCTAGCTTCCATAGTCCCTCTGGTGGCGACAATGAACAGGTAACAAAAACGGTGGTCTGATACCAATGTTAGATATCCAGAGCTACTAACAAAGTGATTCAAGCAATAATTTGGGAACGAAAGGTATGAACAGTCTCAAGAAGGTAGTTTATTAACAGAAATGAGAGAAAGTATTCCGCAGGTAAAGAGTGCCAACTCTCCAAATCCAAGCCAAAAGAATAATCCCAACCTCTCTCTATTCTACATTTCTACCCTCAACCTCTATTTATACTAACTCTAATGCTCTTTTTATTTCTTATTATTCTATGTGGGTCGGTATCAATCCATTCAAAAACGGATCAGGATTCAGGGTTGACTTTTTCCGCAACTTATGTGCATTAGTCTGGTAAATACGGGCCACCTCACATGTTCATACTCTCCCGTAAGCGGCCCAACAAAATTTTGAATTTTTTCAAAACCTTCAAAAATATTTAGAACACTTTTAAATTAACATTATACGATTTTAAAAATTGTTAATCACTTTACAACAATAATTTACACAAAAAGCTATAACTAACCTTTAATGTTCAAGCACTAAGTATTAATTTTAATTTTTAAGTGTAAAAATAGATAATTATATTAAGTTGGGCTAAAAGTTAAAAACTAAAATTAGAGATTACAAGACAATTAAGTTGATTAAAAAGTGTCTCGGATCTTTAAATTAGAATTGAAGGAGAGTTTATTTTCCTTACCCTGCCATTTTTCTTGATCGCAATTAAGGCCCGTTCGGTGACCCTATTTTTGAGCTGATCACGCTTATCAGACAATTTTTTCGCCAAACACGCAACTTTTAATTTCACACGCTAGATTGTTTGATAATCAAAATAAGTAAGGTTGGACTAACTTTTGTAGATGTATTGGCTGAATTTACTATAGATGACCATATTAGTTATTTTTTCTTTGTTTTATTAATAAAGTGTATTTTGAATATAATTTCCCATAATTCGGCAGATTTAGTCAATTCAGTTGTTTCAATCAGAACTTCATCAACTTCAGCAAGTTTGCCGAGTTAGCCAATTTGAGTGTTAACAAACGGACCGTGGGGTTCATTGAAAAGTTCGAAAAGCATAGCTGAGGTCTGAAATAAAGAGTGTTCAGGAGGTAGCAGTTGAGCGACTGGGGAGGAGAATCTTGTACCAAACATAGCTCAGAGAATTCAGGAAAAACAGGAAAATAGGGAAATATTTCCGGGAAACGAAGTGAGTGTCATCATACAGAACAGAAGATGAGTGGCAGAACATACCATTCTCTGCCGTGTCTCCAGACGCAGCTTCTCTGCGTTTGCTCTATCATACTCCCCATTTTCTAGAGAACGCTGATCAGGCCTTAGTCTTGAATCAGTCGGTGGGAGCTTTTCCTTCACGCGTGATTAAATCCATGAATCAGGGTAGTTTATGAGTCGTTAGGAAAATGATAGATTCCATCTTAATAATTAATACCTGGAGTCCTGGGGTTAACTCATTCAGTGTAATTGCAAAAGGAGTCATGTTGTATCGGGTGAGGTTTGGTGTAGGTTTATTGCTTTCCCACAATAAGGATGAATCAGACAAATCTTTTGGCTTGCTATTACATTCCCCACTTAAGTAATACATGTTCTCATCCCACTTTCCAATTAGTGTTGCTACCTTACTGCCCGTGACATCTTCAACAAATCCGTGAACCTGTTTTGTTAATTTCTAATCTCAAAAAATCTTTTCTCGTATACAAATTACATAGATAGATATGTGCATAAGAAAATCAAATTACAGTATCAAGGATACGTTTGGAACAATGTGGGTAATTTAGAACCATGAGGGAAAATAAACAACATCTTCTAGCTCAGTAAATCTATTTTAGATATTTTGCGCAAAACCATTTTGTGTGTGTGTGTGGGTGTGGGTGTTTTACAAAGTAGTAAATCAAATTCCATATTGATTTATAATATCTGAAGTAAAACCCAACGTATCAAAACAGATTCCCTTGTAAGGCGATGGTACGGGTGAATTCAATTTTCATGTATTACCTGGTGGGGGTTGCGGTCAAGAAGAGATTGCTCTTTGAATTTCAGGTTGCATGAGTATTGGCGATTACCACGTATATGCATCATTCCGTGATGATCACAATATACCTTGCCGAGAATTAGGTTGTGTATACTAGTTGTGACCTGATGACAGCATAACTTACGGGTTTAGAAAAAAACAAAAATGAAAAATGAACGAAAGAATATTGAATTGGAACCTTTAGTACCATATTTTCTCTACTACAGGTTTTTATTGTTTAAGATAATGCTACCGCTTTAATTAGAAATAACTAAGTCATAGACATTGGCCAATGAAAATGAGTGGTACACCTACAAGTGCTACCCAAAATGTGGTAATTTGAACTCCAAAGCAAATATTAATGATCTCCAATGGTACAATTCATACCTTGCTCCACTGAAAAGTCTCCCCATCATCGAATTCTAAGGTTAGAGTTCCAACAGGATCGAGTTGAATTGATCTCCCCCAAAATTTAGATTTAAGGTTAGTGTCACCCCAGAATATCCAGCCTCTACCTTCACAATGACCGGCAATAAGTGTTGGGTGGTGACTCACCTGTTTTACAAGTTCCCACATCAATAGTGTGAGTTTAAGTTGTCACTGTCTTTTTTGCTAAATTTTTATTACCGACCTCAACTAGTTGGAATTATGTTTCTACTTGCTACAGGTGCTAACAATGATGAATAGCATGAATATAGAGTTCAAACTAAGTGCAACACACTAACAATGTTTTCACTTGAACTGGTTGTAGTCTCAAGCCAGATCGGTTCAGACGAGACTTATAGATAATTAAACACACATAATATAGACCTTTGTCATACTAGGCCAGACCTACTTCAACAGACCGGATCACACCAAACTTCAATAGACAGAATTAGACCAAGAGCAGTGAAAACATTCTAAAGGCATACTACGAGATGGTCAAGCTAGTAAACAACAACACTACAACCCCATAACTGAACGCAGATGAAACCAGGAGCTGCATTCCTTTTTATCCTAAAACCTAATATGAGATCCAAAACATATCATCATGTGAAGGGGTAAATTCTTAACCATAGGTGATGGGTCTCATTGCTACACGGGCCCTTAGTTCATGAATGGATTATATATATATAACATTTTATTGGCATGTGCTCATTCAAATTCACTGCATACACAGGCTCATGGAGAAATATTTGTCATTGTCCATGCATAAGAGTATTGACATTATTGTTTCAATAATCTTTGTAAAATATACTAAACAGAAAGGGAAAGTCTCACTTCTAGTCCCTCAAATAGTACTGGTGTTGAAATGTAATCCTCATATTTCCAAGTTTGTAAATGTAACCCCTCGATTGTCCGGAATGGTGTAAATATAGTCATCACCCACATTGTACATTTGACCCATTAAAGGACCACATTTACAGAAATAAAACCATATTTTGATTAAATGCAATCAAATTCAAAAGAACTCCTAACTTATAGTTTTAGAACTCAGAAGAACTTATCAACTTTCCTAAAGAAGCCAATCACACTGAACAAAATTGCCCACCCCTCCCTTCACAAGCTAGAAGGATATATATATATATATATATATATATAGAGAGAGAGAGAGAGAGAGGAATGTTCAGGTCCGAACATTCCCCGTCCAAACACCGTCCGAACACCGCCTTTCGGGGCAGTTCCCAGTCGAATTTTTTTATGAAATTTTTATGGTATGTTCTTCATCAAGTCTAGTGTATCCACAAAATATTTATCTCAAAATTCGATCGGGAAGGCCTTCAAATGATTTTTTGAAGTTCACTGCGTTTTTCTATGTATAATTTGGCGCAGTCAACTTCAAAAAATCATTTGAAGGCCTTCCTGATCGAATTTTGAGCTGAAATTTGGTATGGAGAAACTAGACTTGATGAAGAACATACCATAAAAATTTCATCAAAACATTCCATCGGGAACCGCCCCGAACGGCGTTGTTCGGACAGTGATCGGACGGGGAATGTTCGGACCTGAACATTCCTCTCTGACTCTCTCTCTATATATATACACACACCTTTTCAGAGAAGAACCGAATTCCTTTCTCGGGGAAGTCAGCTTCATAGGTTTCTCCCAGCAGAGGATTGAAAGGCTTGCAGTGTCGGCCTTCAGTTGATGCATATCCAGAAACAGCAAAAGCAGCAACATTCAAAATCCTTTGTAGAGTGTTACCCTTATTGAAAAAAATCAAAAAATAATGAACAGTTATATCAACACTGCAAGATGACAGATGTCTACTTCAAATAAGAAACTACGCAAGCAGGGCAGATCAAGCAATAAGAATTCAACAATGAAACAACACCGCAGTTAGAGCAATAAGAATGCAAACATGCACATTGCAAGGTGAAGATTCCTGAGTTTTAGTTTTCATTATTTGTTTACTTTATTTCACTTGGAGGGGTATGGTGTAGTGGTTCAGATGCATGCCTTCCTTGGGTACCACCCAGGTTCGAATCCTGGTGGCTTCATTTTTATATCTTTTGGGACTAAGGCTTGGATGTTGTTGTTGTATTTCACGTGGAGGGGTAGTATTGTAATTATCAGAACTATAAGGGCTGAGTAACTGCTACCTGTCTTAGTATTTATATTTTGTTCCTTCTGTTTGATTGAATAAGAAATGAATGATAAATAATAAAGATGAGAGCATCTCTCTCTATCTCTCTCGTATCCTCTTGTATCTACAAGAGAGTAGCAGAACTCTTGACAAGGTATTGCCAATTATGATCCCGAACACTTCACAATGCAACAGTGTAAATTTCATACTTCCACATTTGGAACAATATGAGAGGGAAAGGACAAACAGCTGAGAAAAATATTTAAAAAATTAAAGAAAAAAAATTGCGGGCACAAGAACTCCCAATATGTTAATGCTTGCAATTTCAAAAACACAGAATGCAAGCACTGCCTCTAAACAAAAATATGTGATATTAGTGGTATATAATTGAGTAACTGACACAGAACTACAAAAAATGAATAGAAACAACTCGTATCAGCAATATTTCTAGAACCTTCAGCCTTCAAGAAAGAGCAAAGAAGCAATTTATGAATGTATACCTCTTTTCCATGCTTGTATGCCTTGTCTAAGAGATAGGAGTACTCCAAATCTTCAAAGCTTCTCTGAAGGGATGATAAGGGTTCATTGAAGTACACGGGAAGACAAACTCGTGTGAGATCTTTCCCCACATTGTCTTTGATCATAGACCATAAACTAACTCCTTTCTCTTTTTCAATGGGATGGGGTAGTCTTTTTCGCCTCTCTACTTGTGGACGCATGGAAGATTGACAACCCGCATTCCTTTGCATCTTATCATTAGCTGATTTCTGAAGCTCTGAGCATTTATCAATTTGATCTCCTACCGCTGACCCGTGACTGACAGAAGGATCAGAAAAGTAGTCATTTGTATCAAAAAATCTAGTTTCCTCTTCGACTGATGCTTCCTCGAGTTCTTGTTTCTCAACATCATCAGATGATTCAGTAGTGCTCCATTCTGATAATCGAATGAATTTTAAATCATATTTGTCTTGAAAGTGCATGAAAAAGAAAGAAATAATACTAAAAACAATCCACTGGTAAGGCCACATTGTTATGGCTTTGGTAATATCAATATTTTTATGAGAACACGTTTAAATTTTAAAAGTATTCAAGAGTACATTAGATATTGGATGGCGTAGATTAAATCATATGCAGATTAGAGAGGGTAACCAAGTAAACTGTGATATTTATACAGTAAGATGTCTTGTTATGCAAGATTTTCATTTCATATTAAATATATCATGCAAAGCAATGAATAATTTTTAAGGACAACGGTAGAGTAAAATTATATTTGTCTTTCAAAAGAAACTGTATTTGTTATCTTACTCACTGTAGTGAGGAATAGAACAATAATAATCGGTTAGCCAAGAAAAACATCTCTCTCTACAATGTGCAGGGGGTGATTGAGTATATGGCCCAGGGACCCCCGACCCACATACTTCCACTACTGCAATCAGGCCTAATAGGCCCAAACGGGCCAAGTCCACCAAAATGAAGCCCTAAGCAGCCCACGATACGCAAGGGGATGCCTTCGGCCCCATGGCCGAAGGCTACCGTTTACATATACAGGCTCAGAAACATCATAGGAGAACAAGGCTAAAAAATCGAGCCCTCGGCAATTGGAGCCCTCGGCACTATGAGGCCCCCGGTACGAGGAGCCTTCGGCTTATCATCTACGGGCCGAAGGCATCCTCCTCAACAGAATATCCTCTTCACATGCGCCTGAATCACCGTATCGAGTACAACGTCACATCCAACCACCGCATTTAATGCGGCACATGCAGGTGTCGGTGCCACCCGGTTGAGGTGACTCCTCGACCGTTAGATTATTGACACGTGTACTTTCATCGCATTTATTGCTACTATAAATAGCAGCTCATTTCCCCATTGTAAATCATCACAAGTTCACATAACGAATACTCACTCTCTCTCTTACTATTGCTCTGACCTCTCTCTAGTTATTCTCCACAATAACCCCTCAGATAAGTTAACCGGGTACACTATCCATCAGGGGGCTAGATGTGTACAAGTGTTTTATTAATCAGAGTATGCCCACACATCCATCAAGGGGCTAGATGTGTACAAGTGTTTTATTAATCAGAATATACAAGTAATGTTGAGATATGTAGGTCAAGATGTTTTGTCTTGCATAGATTCTTTTTACCAACTTCTATTCTTGTTTTCGCTTTACTAAGAGAATGGGAATATCAATTGAACAAACATTGAGTTGCTTTGGGAAGTAGTTAGCAAAAGGAGATATAAAACTTACCACTGTCCTTTCCACGTCCTAAATTTGGATATTCACTACTCAATAATTGGTACTCGCCCTCAGGAACTCTTGCAGCCTCGGTTTCAATATCGGTCCCCTGCAGAAGCAAAACTGGAGTGCCTTAATGCAGGTAAATCATTGCAAATGTTTTACGCTAAAGAAATGGGCATTTAGAAACTCTGATAATTAACAATATGCAAAGCAGAAAAAATCATTTACCTCCAACTGTTGTAAAGTTTCTAACAGACTTGTACGCTCCTCGCAGAGATATTGAAGTTGACCTTGCATTTCAGACAATTCAGAAAGCATGATCTCCTCACACTCATTGACAAGCCCCTCACTAACTCCCTCATCAAGCAAACGCTTCTTCAGCTTGTCAGTTGATACAGATACACTCCTGGGTAAAATGGAGAGATTATCAGCTGATGGTCTAAGCATAACGACATTTCTGGTTGAAACCAATGCTTCTATCCAAGCCTCTCTCTCTTGCCTTGAATTTGTCCTAAGGTGAAGAGTCTTGGTAGCTGTAAATATGTAAAACCGCCTATCATCAGATCTGCTCTCACGAAATGACGATACCTACATACAAAAGTACAATAGAAAAGAATATGCTTTAAATTCTTTTCCTTGGGACAATACGAACCCACATAGCAAAAAGAGCAGGCAATTAAAAACTAATGCTGGCTAAAGAACCCACATTGCCAGCCAGACATGAGTAGAAGGAAATAGCGAGGACATGAATATCTTATTCTAGTACGGAGCACTATTGTCTCTGCTTCTCTAACAAATTTCTTTATACACTAATAAGTGTATTTCCTAACTCGCTTTTCAAACAGATTTATAAGCTTAATTCACATTACGCCAAACGTCACAGAGATGAAAAATACTTCGTATGAATTGGCAAAAAAAAAACACTCAAACAGATTATCCACCATTATTTTCTGTTTCACACATGCAATTTCAACCAAGAAAAGAACACTGCTTTCTCAACAACAAATTTGAACGTGCAGGTTCGTCAATAAGAAACCTGAAGATGTCCAGATGTCAAAAAGAGAAAGCTGACGACGCCCAGACAAAAATATAGCTGACAATTGGCTTTTGGGAAATGACACTTGAATTACAAAAATAGGACTAGTATTTTTTCTTCCCTAAATAGGGCTACAATTTGAAAAATACTCCTATGATTGAAAAATACTGTCATTAATTATAATAAATACTGTCATTTTGGAAATCTCCATTTGCTTTTTGTTAGCTTGAAAATGAAGAGAATGTGTTTCCATTAACCGGAGGAAAATCGACTCAAACACACCGTAAAATTCGTTTTTCAGCCTATGTCTATTTACCACAATACCTAAGGCTCAAACCTAATGAATCTATTGGGTTCTTCCCTAATTATTTACTTGGATGTGACTCGTTAAAAAGTAACAAGCAGTTGTTAAACTTGATAGAAAAATAAAAACGGGCTAGAAAAAGATAGCCGCAAAACCTGAGTTATCTAAGGTGGTAGTGAACACCATAGTTAGTTAAATACGGTACGAGAATTAATCGAGGTTTAATACGTGAAAAAATGGCACACGTATGACCCCTGCACTTTTCAAAGACAAAAATAGGATTGATTTCAATTTTTCCATAAATGTGACTTCATTATATTGTCCCTTACATTTCCCCATCAGTCGGCTAATACAAAAATGCCTCTTTAAGTCTTCAGTGAGATGCCAGCGAAGGGTCTCCCAGCGCCAACAGCCAAGCCGATGAGGTCTTCATCGGTTCGCATCTTCATTGCATCTTGTCGGTTGTCTCTCCGACGTCGTCACATGTGGTCTTCTCAGCATCCCCGACCTCCTGCCATTAAATCTACAACGTCGCCGCATCCCTGTATTCGTCGCAGTGAATTAAGCCGTGCCGTCGCCGCCGTTGTCTGCCACCATCTCCCCCAGGTTTGATGTCTTCTTCTTCACCTTTCTGTGGCCGAGGACGATGGTGAAGACCGTCAGATCTGGCCCACCATTGACGATGTGATACGAACAGGTTGATCGAAGAGGCATTGGCCTAATTGATGGATGGAAGAGGCGATTTTCAGATCTAAATCCGGAGTGGTGACGGTGTCTAGGATGCAGAGGTGTGGATTGGGGGCTGGTCAGAGTAGGAGCTGGGAGGTTGGTTGGGGGCACGTCGGGGGGCGGGCGGGTTGGGGGCTGGGACTAGGTTTTGGAGTGCTGGGTCGTGGGGATGGGTAGGTGGTTGGGGCTACGGAGGGGCCTGAGGAGGTGAACGGGGTTGGGGAGTCAAGGAGGGGTGGGGTGGTGGTCGGCGGCAGAGGTGGCCGTTGGTTGACGGCGGCGTTGGACAGTGGTGGCCGTAGGAGATGTGCAAGGGTGAAGAGTGATCGGTGGTGGCCAGCAACAGTGATCGGTGGTGGTGTACAGTTGCGCTTGTGAAAATAGTCGTTGGTCGGAGGTGGCGACGGTGACTGAGGAGGGGCTGCGACAGTCACTGTGAGCGGTGGGGCAGTCACTGTGGCTGGTGGGGCAGTCACTGTGGTCAGAGGGCAATCACTGTGGCGGTGGGGTAGTCACTGTGGTGGAGGGGCAGTCACTGTGGCGGTGGGGCAATCACTGTGACCGGAGGGGCAGTCACTGTGGCGGTGGGGCAGTCACTGTGGTCGGAGGGGCAGTCACTATGGCGGTGGGGCAGTCACTGTGGCGGAGTCACTTCGACCGGAGTCACTTTGCATTGCAGGGTTAATTAAGATGTTGGTCACATTTTTGGAAAATTTTAAAACAAGTCACATTTTTGTCTTATTATTCATTTTAGTAATATTGGAATAAAAAGGCCTTAATACGTACGTGTTTTATTCGGTAACAAGAATGAAAAGGACGGTCAAAAATTTGTTGAAAAATGCGTTGACTTTTAAAAAACGTGTGAATACGTATACATGTATAATACGGTATATGTTACAAAAATTCGGACAAAAAATACGGGGTATTATTTTGAACATTTAAAGTATATACTTCACAAATTAAGATATATAGTAAAAAAAATAAAAGTATACACATATTCAAGTAGCAAATCTCATTACCACATGAAAGAATAATTCGTAATTGCATAAGTCAATGAAAAAAATAAAAATAGTAATTAAGTCCAAGACATTATTTTGCAAAATAAAGTCAAAAAAATGAGACATAATAACAATAGAATGAGACTAAGTTAAAATCATTGTCTTTATATGATCATCGAGTCCACTCAAGTTAAACTCATTATTTTCATCAAGATAACAAATGACATATGAGAAGAGTACGTTCTACGACTGCTACGATTATTATTGTTTATGTGTAAAAGTTTATGCTAAAAATATGTCAGGTTAGAAAGATCTTAATTTTGATATGCTTGATTGAAAAACAATTATAAATCCAATAGTATTTCAAATTTTGGTATTTTAGAAAGCTAGCTTGAACCGTCATGCAATTAATTTTATTACGGAGTAGTATTTAATAATAATTGCATTGTAACAATACAAAAGTATGGGGTCACGAGGGGGGTTCCTGTTTGTTTTTAACCTATTGTTGATTTTATATGCATTTAATGTTCTCATTCAATTGATCAGTTCATGTTTCTATTTTTTTGTAAAATACGGAAAAAATACGTTTTATACGGGAATTATGAGTTTTTTTTCCTTTTTAAACACGTTTTTTGTTCAAAAAACGGTACATGTTTAAAAGGCAAAAAAACTAATAGACAACCAAGTTTTAGCGCAAATTATACGGTACATCCGGGTGTACATATACACCCGGTATTTTTGCAATTTCCTGCAACTTCAAGCCTTTTGATTCTTCTTCTGCCGCCATCCTTCCTTTTATTTCTTTTCCAGCTGCCTCGTTTCTTTTCTTTCTTTTCCAACCGTCATTCTATTTGATCTTTCCTGCTAGTTGTTTTACATTTTGTGTTTTATCTTTTTGATTTTATTTTTTTTGTTTCTTTTAGGTTAGTTAGTTTACTTTCTTTTCTTTTATCTTTTTTCTATTATTCTTTTCGTTTCTTTGTTTTCTTGTTTCCTTCTTTCTTTTTCTTTACTCCATATATTAATACCGAGCACATTAGAAATGAGCTTTACTTTAAACTCAAATAAATAAAGTGTCTAAAAAGAATGGACACACACAAATTAGCTTTTGAATTTTTGAAAACTCATTTTATAAGTTATGCATGTCCATTTATTACCTTCGTTATGCTCATTTTAAAATGTTATATCAATGCATATTTCAAAAGTCTCATATTACATTAGATTCACATATAATTTGATTATAGACACGAGACCTCAAATCATGATACTCAATAACACGATTCTAATACTCAATAACGTAGGTTTGATGCCCACTGAAAATGTCTTGATGCTCAACGAACAAAACTTACAATTTTTATATCAATGCTCATCTTATAAGTTATATATGCTCATTTGTATAGATCTGATGCTCATTAAAAATTCATTAATGCTCATTTAACATTACGATTTTATAAGGTTTGATTCTCATTAAAGATTCATTAATGATCTTATAAGGTTTGATGCTCATTGAAAACGTCGTTATGTCAAACTAACAAACTTTACGATTTTCATATCAATTAACATTTTATAAGTTACGTATGCTCATTTTGTATTGATGTTATGCTCATTTTGAAATGTCATATCAATGTATATTTCAAAAGTATCATATTACACTAAATTCACATATTGAAATTCATAAGAGGGTATTATAAATATAATTTAATAAATTTTTATAAAAGAAAAAATAAGAAAAAAAGAACAAAAATTAGAAGATATGAAGTTGAGACCGTGTTACTCATTGTTAGTCTCGTAATACTCAATAAAATAGGTTGGATGCTCACTAAACGTACAATATTGCTCATTTAGCGGAAGCCGTGAATTTTCGCTTAAATTACAAATATGCCACCGAATTTTTATTGACCTGTATTAGTGATTGGGCCTGGCCGGTTGTACTTGCACCCTAATGCACTGTTTACGAACTCAAGTTTTAGCAGCTGAGATCGGAAATGGTAGCAATGGGAGTAAATGCGCCACGTTAATAGCGCTTCCGGTATGGGAAAGTTTTCTGTTTGTTGCAGCCTACCCACCACAACGACTGACTACCGTTCCTATTGATTTCCCCCATTGTGAAATTTTTCTTACCAAAGTGCTGATTTTCTCTCTCACACACTTCCCTAGTGGGTACGAGTTTTGCGCTGACCAGTGGGCCTGATGAAAAATGTGTAGTGCATAGACAAGGGTGACAGGCCAGTAGGCCACGTTTATAATAAATGTGTGTGTAGGTGTGTATAGACTCACACACAAATTAATTCCATACCTTGAGATGAACAATGCGGATGGTTTTGCGGTGTTTAGGGCGGCGAGGATCGTTGGACGGGAGATGACCGATCAGTTTAACGTCCTCCGCGGTGAAAGAGACGTAGTCAGGGTGACAAGTTTTGGAATAAGAAATAAAGCCATTGCGGAGGTGAAACCAGCGGGATCTCCAGCCCTTGTGGTAATTGGTCCACTTGTAGAGCACACCAGCAGCGCCGGTGGCGTCGCATCCACCCCCAGCATTGGCATCAGATCCGACTACCGCAGAACCGGTCCGAAGCAGCAGTTCCGGTGACCGATCACCGATCGCGCCGCCGCTCGCCAAAGTTATGCAGCAGAGTGGATGCATTTCCTTAGCCCGCGCGCATTGTGATCGCTCCACTTTTCCTTCAACCTCACCCCAATTCGATCCTCATTAGTATAACGTACGCAGAAACGACACGCATATGTACCTCACTTTCTCTCGATATATATAAAAGCACCTGAAAGTCAGGATTGTAGATTTTGGCCGGAGATTAGAGAGATCCGAGTCTGCTTCCTTGACAATTTTGTAGCTCTCTGTACAAAGTCAAATGAATGGTAAAATCGTCATTCCGCGTTTTCGCAATCAAAGACGTCAATTTGCACCTATGGTGATGACCACATATGGAACCATATTAACGGAAGGATGGTGACGGTGACGATTATAATAAAAATTTATTAACGTGTTTTGTCTTCACCGGACGATTCACTTCTTTAGAAAAATTCTACGAGTTAGAAAAAAGCAGAATTTTCCCGAACAGGGAAGAGAGTCAAAACAAATTATGAATGTTTTTAGAAATATTACCCTGGCACTAAATTCTTCCTTGAACTCTTAGATAAGACTAATCATATTTTTTTGCCCTAAATAGGACTGGATTACCCATTTACCATTATTATTTCCCTTTCCCCTTTTCCTCACCGTTTCTTTTTCTCCCCTGCGCACCCCTGCGCATCTTCTCCCCCTTCCCCCTGCGCATCCCCTTTGCGCAATACACTTTCTTCTCCCTTCCTCTTCGCACTAGAACAACCAAAGGTTCGAGCCCGCCGCCGTTGACGTGAAGTCCTCCGCCACTGCCCAGTCATAGCCATCATCGCCGCCGTCGCCGTCAGAGATCTTCTCTTCTTTGAAGGTAGGTTCTCTCCTTCTTCCCCTCTTCTCAAGTTCTCTCCCTCTTCTATTTCGTTGCAGATGCTCGATTTCTTCTTTGATTGGTAAAAAACCAAATTCAACATTGAAAATGCCATCAAAATGTCATTCTTATTTTACAAAAATTTTGTATTTTACTTTGAAAATGCCATTACAATGACATCCCTGATTCATCTTTTCGTTGCAGGACCAAATCTCTGTTTCATATTTGGTTGTTAAAAAAATTCCCTATCTGGTTTGAAAATGCCATAAAAATGGCATTCATCCTCTTCAAAAATTTCATGTTTTTCTTTGAAAATGCCATTTAGATGGCATTCTCAATTTATGATGGCATTTTGATAAAATGTTGGTGGCCAGTAGGATTTCCAAGCTTCAGGGGTGTTTTTGTCCAATTACAATTAATAACTCCTATTTTGGGAATTTTTAAACTTTAGTCCTATTTTAGCAATTAAAGATGTGTTTACTCCCATTTAGGTAATTACCTCATATTTTTAACTTGATCTAGCCTACAATTTAACTCACTTCTACAAATCCATTCTGGTCGAATCCATTTAAATGTGATTTTGTATAATCTAATTTGATCTTGTATGAGATCGAAACCATTCAATTAATAACTTTTTTTGTTAGAAAGAAATACTTATTTAGCGAAAGCATTAAATCAGGAGTATCACTTGTTCCAAGTCTTTGTGGACATTCATCTTGTTGAAGGGTTATGCTTACGCATAATAAATTTAATACTTAGATCCATTTGGCTCTTCCTCAAATGAATGTCTTAAAGAATTAGTGTATCTTTTCATGGGGAGAAGATAAAGTAAATATGGTGATTCAATATGTTGGGACCATACATAAAAGGTAACTCATGTTATATTAGACCATTTGTAGTGATCGAGACTTCATCCATATGAAAACAGTGTTTATACTCCGTCAATACTGTTTTTCCCTGCATCCATGCATCGTCAATAAAATACACTCAACATATTTTTTTACATATCAATTTAGTAAAACATTAATTAATTTATTATAAGTAATGTATTCCGTTTAATATTTTCCCTAAATAATTGTGAAATAAAAAATACACATTTCGATATAAAAATAAATAAATTTCATTAATTTTTTTTAATGTTTTCGGTTAACAAAAATGATCTTAGTTCAAGTAAAGTTCAATTATGAAATATTCACTTATTTGTGAAGATTCCATGAATTAAAAATGTGTGAAGATATTCCATTATTTGTGAACATTAAAATAAACACACATGGAATTTATATTTGAAACATATGTGATAATTAAAATAATAACACATGGAATAAATTAAAATAACAAAACGCGGAATTTAAAATTGAAACATACGTAAAATTCAACTTACAACACAATACAAAATAAAAACAACAACACATAAATAACTAGAAATCGAAGTGGAGACGATACACTTCTTCTTCTGCGGAAGTGTCAGGAACATCACTTGAGGCATTTTGAGAATACCCCATGATTTCATCTTGCTTTTGCCTAATCCACCTTTGCTTCCTCGGTGAAAACTTTGAAAGGTCCGCAGCTAGTAAGTCATACTGGTTTTTCATAATCTCCAACTCCACGGCTTTGTGTTGAAGCTCATCGCGTTTCGCTCTTCTTGCAGGTTGTTCTCTGCCTTGCTCAATCATTTCTTGAAAACATTGTGTCATCATTGGATCTAGCTTAGACGCCTTTGCCTTTCCACTTCTTTTGGCCTTTTGTTTGTCCCGCCCTTCAGGGCGTTGAAATGGCTCTCCATCCGAGGGAGAACTAGCACTACCTCCGAGTGTGGGCGAATTGTGCGATTGTGGAGGCGATATTGGCCGGGTGAATGATACCAGAGCTTCGTATTATTGGTACCACTTTGGGCACGAGTGAAGGATACGCCATGCATGCTCAAATTTGAATGATATGGCTTGTCATGGTTATCATTCATGAAAATGTTCTTGGCTTGAAAATCCTACAATATAAAAATAAATACGTAAAATGCATAATAATATAGTTTTTTTTATCATGCATAATAATACAGTTAATATAATATGAAAAGTGTATATATTATATACACTTTATTAATATGTACTAAAAAGTATTAAAATAATATATATATATTTCGAAAATATATTAGTATATAATTTTTTAATTACAGTTATATTAAAATAGTATAAAATATAAAAGTATTAGTTATGCGCATGAATAAGTAATTACAGTTTTATAAAACTGCAAAAATATATTAGTTTTATATAGTATATTAGTATTAAAATAGTTATATAAAAATTATTAATATATACTTTATGAATTAAAATGAAATAATGGAATAGTTTATAAGTTACCAAATCGGCTAAGTTCGACCCACTCGTCGGGGTTGCGTTCGCCTTCCGCACACAAGCTTTCCATGAAGAGCATTGGTGATTGATGATCTTGAAACGGGACTCAATAGAATCCCGACTCCGTGGAACGTCACATTTTTGCGAAAATGATACGTGAATTCAGGCCCAAAAACTTTCCCCCGGTTGATTTATGCCAATCGCACCATCTTCGGATATGATTACTGATGTGAGTTTTCTCGCACTTAAATTAATAGTAGAATAGTGGTGAAAGTACGAGTATCGTCTCCACAGAGACGGACAAAAGGGAATTAAAGATTAACTAAATTCAACGATTAAAAATAAATAAAATAAATGTGTCGTGCGAGATTGGTTGGTTGAATTGAAATTAAGCTAATGCGAATGATCGATTAAAATAAAAGATTGGGTTCTCTCTAGTTAACGACGAAGGGAGCAGTGATTGATTCCAGGGTAATCAGATTTCTGGCTGATCAGGCTTAATTACATGAAATTAATTTAATTGAGCCTAGCTAATCAATACTAAGTTCTTAGCGCTCTCGCGGCGTAGAGTACAATAATTTAGGGGACCAGGCTGATCTCTCATGCGACAAGATCCTAAATTATTGCCAAGACGAGCGAGCTTACGGCCCCTTAATCGCTACTAATCTCTTAGCGCACGATTAAGTATGTGTGAATGTGTTCTAGAATAAACTAGATCTCTCAAGCAGACGCCTTAGCAGGAGTGGGATCATGCTTAGGGTCTGAGTGCAACGACAACATACCATTTGTTCACCTAATGAGTCCGGCAACCGACAAATCCAAACCTATCAACATCATTCAGCCAGATGCAAACAACAACTGGATGAAACCATTTATTGACTATCTGAAGAACAACATCCTTCCAGCCGACAAACGAGAAACAAGGGCGCTCCTATCTAAGGTATTGAAGTTTTTACTAATTGATGGTGTGTTGTTTAAGCGTTCAATCGCAGGTCCGTATCAAAGATGCTTGACTTCATACGAGGCCAACAACGTTCTTAAAAGTCTCCATGAAAGGGAATGCGGTAACCATGCTGCTGGCAGGAGTTTATCCAACAAAGCACTGAGATTTGGCTATTATTGGTTGACTATGAGATAAGATGCTATTGCCTACACTCGAGCGTGTCTACCTTGTCAAAGACACGCGCCCATCCATCACCAGCATACAGAAGCACTACATCCAGTGTTGTCACCGTGGCCGTTCATGAAGTGGGGCATGGACATCATTGGAAAATTACCTGAAGCTCCCGGCCAGAAGGTCTACATGTTAGCAATGACCGATTATTTATCAAAGTGGATTGAAGCGGAGCCCATCCAAAAAATCCAAGATGTCCATGTCATATCCTTCATCAAAAGGAACATCATGAGCCGATTTGGCATCCCGTCAGAAATCGTCTGTGATAATGGGTCACAATTCATCAGTTCAAGAACAAGGTGATTCTGTGAATCATACAACATTAAACTAGTGACGACTCCAAAAAGAGGCTTGAAAAAGCACAAGGAAAATGGGCTGAGGAGTTACCATTAATCTTGTGGGCACATAGGACGACTCCAAAAAATGCAACGGGTCAGACGCCTTTTTCCTTGGTATATGGCTGCGAAGCGGTCATCCCAACCGAAGTAGAAGTCCCGTCGTCAAGGTACATGCTCATGACAGAAGAACAGAACAATGTGGAATTAACGCATGACCTCGACACCATCGATGAGTTAAGGGAAAAGGCGCCTGGCAAGAGTTGAGAGCTTCTCTCCCTAGGTCTTCACCGCCTGGGCTCTTTTGCGTACAAGAATTTACTAGTTAGCATGGATTTCCATTTCGATGATGTTTTTGGCTTGTTTTTAGTCGTAATCCTTCATTCCGAGCTTCGAAGTTCAATTTGAAATTGGAAAGATGGTTTTTCGACCACCAAAAAAGAGAAACGAGTGGATTCGAAAGCCGAGTTACTGTTCATGCCGATGTTTTTGATTTCGTCTGATATCTGTTTTCTGTATCTGGAATTGGAGTGTTTGATTGGAGTTCGTCATCCTATGGCGCACCCTCTGAACTCGATTGTTGAAGTTTGAGGAAGCTGGAGCTCGGAGTTCGTCCGCGACTTCAGACTT